CCTTCCAGTTCCACCCCCCCTGCCAGCAGCGGGGACCCCTTCCACTAGACCAGGTTGCTCAAAGCCTCATCCAGCCTGGCCTTCAACACTTCCAGGGATGAGCGTCCACAACGTCCTATAAACCATATAGCTGAAGGGGTTTGTGTGTGGGTTTTTTTAATAAATCATTTTTAAGACATGGTTTTTTACTGAACCCATACATCTCCATGAATGATGGTCTGTCCTTGCCCTCAAAACATCAGTTGTGCTTGTTCCTTTTGTTCTCATGGTGTTAGATGGTCTCTTTTCCTTGAAGGCTTCATCCAGCTCCAGCTGACATTGATGGGAATTTTGTCCCAGGCTTTGGATCATTGCAAGGACCAACTCACATGCTTCACCCAGCTGCTTTGGCAGCGAGGGGCAGGGATGAGGATGCTGGGGAGAAGAGGACATCAAAAGAAAACACAGGTCCAACCCAGGAGAGAAACTCCAATAGCCACAGATTTGTCACATTTTGGAATCATGGCCACATTTTTCAGCAATAATAATAATAATTATTATTATTTTTACATTATCAGTACTTGTCCCAGGAGCTCGCTGAATTATGTGAGTGTTAAAGCTCCTTCTTGTTTTCCAGTTTGAAAAAGGCAGAACATTTCCCAAGGATGCAGGACCAGAAAGGAAAAGTGAACCCAGCCCTTTTGCAGACTGGGCAGAGCTCGTGGTTAAACCATTTAACCACGGAGCCAGGCACCCTTGGTGTGCTCCTTGAAGGGGTTACTGTCAGATGCAGCTGTAATTATGGAGTAAAAGTTGAGTCTGGTGTTATTTTGGGGTAGATTCCTCTATTTTCTGCATTCTTCCCATCTTGAGGCTCCTTTCCACTCAAGTACAAATTGTGTTCCTGGTCTCATATTATCAACGTGTAACCACAGACTAGAGGGTAACTTGTAATTTTTGGTTCCAGAATGGAATTCAATAGAGAAACCAAAACTTCTAAGTTCAGCCCCAAATATGCAGAATGAAAAAAAAAACCCAAAAAACTAAAAAAGCAAACAAAAAAAACCCACCAAAAAAACCCACAGTGGAGAAAGCTCATTAACTCCTCACATCCTGGCAACTAGTCTGGGATGTGCAGAGAAGTCCAGTGGTGAAGGGTGGAAAGGTCAGTGGTTAAGTGACTGGTTTAAATATTTCACCAGACTGTTTGCTGAGACATTTTGAAATGAGACCAAATTAACACACCTCAGAGTAACAAACTCATTTATTTATATTTTTAGGGGTTTTTGTATATTTTTGTGCCTTTTGTTCGTTGAAGAGATGGTTAAGAGGGTCTACAGCCATGTTCACAGGTACCTACACACAGAAGTGGCTTGAAAGAAAGTGTTAGACAGAGAGTGGATGCTGAAGAGATGTAGGTGGAACCATTCAAGGAAGGACGAGTAGAAGATGCTCACCATGAGCATCAGAAAGCCAGATCTAAGGGAGTTTTGTACTATTTTTGGTTTTCAAGCCATGACTAGGTAGCATCTGTTTCTAAAACAGACTAGGAATAGGAATGAGATTCTTTGGATAGGAGTAGTGAAGAGATGGGCCATGATGTTCACAATAGTCCCTCCAGCTCTTGGCAGCCCATGGATTTGTGGCATCCTCGCTGCATCCGGTGGAGAAGAAGGTTCTTTCCTGGCTAAGTACAAGTCTTCAGCTTGCAGATGGTTTCCTGCCTTGTTCAGCACAACCTCAAGTCACTCCAAGGTACTTTCCAAACCACAACAAACTAATAACAACACGATTCATTTTATACAGCATGAAAAGTCGAGATCTGCCATGTGCTTTGCCAGGAATACCCCTGGATGGGGTTGCAGAATGACTTTATCAAGTCAGAAAGGCTCCACCTTCCCCCTACCATTAGGACTTCAGATGGGGACCAGACCATGCTTGAGCACTGGAGCAGCACAGCCTGACTAGTGGCCACCACACAGGTCCAAAGAGTCCAGGGCTGTCTGGATTTATCCACCAGTGCAATCCTTTTGCAAAATTGCTGCTGACACTTTGCTCATCCTGTGTTGTTGGGTCTGTCACAACGAGTGAGGCCACAGCTGGAGTGTTGTGTCCAGTTCTGGGCTCCCCAGTTCCAGAGGGACAGGGATCTTCTGGAGAGAGTCCAGTGGAGGCCACAGAGATGATGAGGGGCTGGAGCATCTCCTGTGTGAGGAGAGGCTGAGAGAGCTGGGACTGTTGAGCCTGGAGAAGAGCAGCCTGAGAGGGGATCTGATCAATGTCTATCAAGATCTGAAATGTGGGGGCCAAATGGATGGGTCCGGGCTCTTCTGGGTGGTGCCCAGTGACAGGACAAGGGGCAATGGGCACAAACTGGGACACCAGAAGTTCCAGACAAACATGAGGAAAAACTTCTTTGCTGTGAGGGTGCCGGAGCCCTGGGACAGGTTGCCCAGAGAGGGTGTGGAGTCTCCATCTCTGGAGATGTTCCAACCCACCTGGACACTTTCCTGTGCAACCTGGTGTAGGGACCCTGCTTTGGCAGGGGGGTTGGACTGGATGATCTCCTGAGGTCCCTTCCAACCCCACCAGTCTGGGATTCTGGGATTCCATGAGTTGTTGGGCAATGGTGGGGAGAGACTCGGTGGGTAGCTGTGCTCTTTCGAAGTGGACAGCTTTGGAATAGGAGAAGCACCAGCCTTCTGCTGTTATAAATCAGAGGGAAACCCTCAGAGGGATGACTGTCCAGCCTTTCTGAAATTACCCCAAACTGCAGCAACTCTTCCTTACACCTTATGATTAGCAAAGCAGTGATGCTGCTTATAGAAAGGAGGAGAAAAAGGGGGAAAAAGAAAGAAAACCACTTTACACAACAATTTATCTTGTTAGTTAGTTCACAAACAGCATCCCACAAAAATAAACAGCGAGTTCAATTATCTTCCTTGGATTTGTGGTGCTATTTCAGGCAGCAGGCAAGCTGCACCATCCCTTAGCCACCCAACTGGAATGATGTCCAGGTCTGCTGGGTGTGTGATGGATGCAGAAGTAACCTGCAGGATGGTCTGGGCAGCTCAGACCCAGCATGGCCTGTTCTCCCTGCTGGGTTCAGGACCCTACATCCATTTTCTGCTTGAAAAGCTCCTATCACATCATGTACAGATTTTTCTCAGGCAATGCACAAGCTGCTACAGCTTGAATTCTTCCTTTCATCATTACCACTCCATCAGAGTTCCCTGTGGGTAGGACAAGAGGAAATGGGCTCCAGTTGTGGCCAGGGCAGTTGAAATGGGATGTGAGGAAGAATTTCTTTGCTGCAAGGGTTCTGAGGCATTGGAAGGGGTTGCCCAGGGCAGTGGTGGAGTCCCCATCCCTGGAGGGATTGAAGAGTCGTGTAGACATAGTGCTGAGGGACATGGGTTAGTTGGGGACTTGGCAAAGCATCACAGCACGGGGTGGATTTTGCTGATGCTACACCTTCCTCTGCTTCCTTTTTTTTTGCAATCCTCCTACCTGCCTGCCCCTCGCTCTCCATCAAACACTCCTCCTCCCACCTTGGTGCTGACAACCTTTTCATATTTCCTTGCTTTTTATCTCCCTCCCTGCTGACAGCAGGAGCTAGACCTTTCCAAACTGCCTCTATTCAATCTTCTCTTGCAAGTCAGTCCCTTTCAACAGTCTTCTTCAAGAGCACATTAGAGAAGAAGGGGAAAAAGTGCTTTTATTTCCCTTTATAGAAACACCAGCTCCAATTAATGGCAATTACCACAGCAAAAGCATAATAACAGGTTTAGAGTTGACCCCAAAGCTAAGACACACTGTTTGCAATTGCCTTGGATGCTTACAGAATCCCAGAAGAATTGCCTGGATTGGAAAAGTCCTTAAAGGTCATCGAGTCCAACCATAAACTCTACACTACTGAGTCTGTCTCTAAACCATGGCCCTAAGCACCACATCTACACATCTTTTAAGTACCTCCAGGAACGATGACTCCACCGCTTCCCTGGGCAGCCTGTTCCAATGCTTGACAACCCTTTCAGTGAAGCTTTTTTTTCCTAATATCATAGAATCCCAGAATGGTTTCAGTTGGAAAGGACCTTAAAGCTCCTCCAGTCCCAACCCCCCTGCCAGCAGCAGGGACACCTTCCACTAGACCAGGTTGCTCAAAGCCTCATCCAACCTGGCCACAAACACTTCCAGGGAGGAGCAGCCACAGCTTCCTTGGGCAACCTGTTCCAGTGTCTGACCACCCTCACAGTGAAGAACTTCTTCGTAATATCTCATCTAAACCTCCCCTCTTTCAGCTTAAACCCATTTCCCCTTGTTTTGTCATTACCTGCCCTTATGAAGAGTCCTTCCACAGCTTTCTTGTAGGCCCAATCCTACCAATCCAATCTTAAGCTCCCCTGGTGCAACTTGAAGCCATTTCTTATTGTCCTAGTCTCTTACACAAGGCAGGGATGGAAACCAGCATCTCAAACTGGGGTTTGCAGAAGCCAAGGTGCAATACTGGGAATTATCAGCAGAGATAAATACCAGGGAGACATGAGGTCCTAGAAAGCCATAGCACTTCTCTTCTTTCATCCAATTGCTCCTTGACTAGCGCCCTTGCTTGGGGCAGAGAAACCCAGATTCCAAATCTCCATCTCCATTAGGTTTTTCAACACAGTTGTATCTTGTAGACCAGTTGCCCTGGTGC